AGTGATCTTTACATAATAAATGGATTTTGTAGTGATCTTACCTGTAAGTTGTAACATGTGCAAGAAATAGCAATCAAATTTATAAAACAATGCGGATGTACTTGATGAATGGGATTGAAATAAATGTGTATAAAACAAGAGATAAAGCTTCAATGATCGTGTGTAAATTACAAAAATGGTCCCAATGTAAATTACAGTTATGATCCCTCTATAAATTACAGGTATGGTTCCTGTGTCAATGTAGAAATTGTCAAGTTATGGTCCCTATATAAATTATAGTTATAGTCCATGTGTCAATGTGGAAATTGTCTAAGTTCTTGTAATTTTGTTCAACATCAAGTTTATTTGCTCTTTTTAATGTTGTATATTATCTAAAAGCTTACTATTACATGGAATAAAAGTTGACCCCTTTAGAAATAAAAAAGCCGGAATTACATGCAATGAAACTAAAAAAAACTTTAAAAAAAATATGCTTTATAATAAACAGAATCATATTTATGTATATATAATCTTCTAATATAAAAATATGCTCATGATTTTCAATAAACAATAAACATCCAATATTTAAATACATATTTTACGATAAACAAACCAACCAAAGTACATGGTTTTAATTTGTTACGATAAACAAACCAAGCAAAGTACATTGTTTTAATTTGTTCTAACATATTAAGAGTACATTCTCTCTTTGACTTCCTTTCCGTAGATCATACAAACTCATGATTTTATCATTGCTCGATAATTAAGTTATAATATGATTAATTTTTCTAATATTAAAATTTCATCCGTGGTGTACACAGGTTATAACCTAGTATCTTATAAATGACAATGAAAATATCCATTGTTTATACATCATGTAAACCCACGAGTTTCTAATGTGTCCACGCATACTAACGGCATATGACGTATGGGCCCCTCCAAATAATTCCCAAACATATCAGCGGTGGCGCGTTTTGACCACGCACTCTCGACCCGTGTAGTTCCGTCTTCCATTATAAACATACATCCAGAATATTGTTCATCGATACAGACACGCATTAATGGAAATGATCTCAAATACATACAATCTACTTCTGAAAATTAAAAAAATAGAAAACAGTAAATTGATAGCTACAGTGGCGAGCATATGGATCCAGTGCACCGGCGGTGCCTCCTACGCCTTCGGAATCTACTCTGCCGCCCTCAAATCTAGCCAAGGTTACGACCAATCGACTCTCGACACCGTCTCCGTCTTCAAGGACATCGGCGCTAATATCGGAGTTTTAGCCAGTCTCCTCTATCACGCCGTCACTAATAACCACCGCGATTCAACGTCGTCGTCTTCTCGTTTCAAATGCGGACTTCCGATCGTCTACTTGTTTGGAGTGGCTCAGTGCTTCTTCGGTTACTTCCTTATGTGGTTGTCCATCACCAGACGCATTTACAAGCCGAGCGTCCTGCTCATGTGCATCTTCATGTTCATGGCGTCACATGCTCAGACATTCTTCAATACCGCAAATATCGTGGTCGCCGTCAGGAATTTTCCAGATTACGGTGGAACAACCATCGGCATTATGAAGGTAATTCATACAATTATCAATCAGGTTGTGCATTTTTACATATCGGCATGTTTACAGTTTGTTCCGATCCATCAGTTTTTCGTTTGATTCTACATTCCGATGATCGGTGAAATCAAAAGTTAGAGATTAAGGTGAACGTAAAACCGCCGCGTGAATCATATACTCATACAAAACATTTGAATCAAATGCATTGGAAAGTTGTACCATACGCTGTAACTTTCATACGGTACTACTACATTCTCAATTTACGAATTTTCATGAACGCTGGCTAAGATCAACAAAAGCTTCATACATCCTATTATCCTAACATCCATTAATTCAATTTTTCCAGCTTCATGCCATTGATTAACTGTATGAATGTATGATCTTATGAATATGCTCTGTTATAACAGAATTTCGTAATTTTCATTTACTCAGGGCTTTCTCGGTCTAAGCGGAGCGATACTAATACAAATCTACATGACGTTCTTCGACGGCAAACCAACCAAATTCATACTAATGCTTGTCGTGGTTCCATCTCTCGTCTCCCTCATTCTCATGTTTCTCATTCACGAAAACCCCTCAAACACAACGAAGTCACCATAGCCGGATATCTAACCATCACACTCTACCTTCAAAACAAAATCGTCTTCTCATCACGGGCTCACGTCATTACAACCATCATTCTTGGTATTCTAATCCTTTTCTTCTAATCGCATGCACAACTCAAACCAACGAACAGCAAGAGGCTAGAGAAGCATTGATTGTAGCTTCAGAGAGTCAGGTGGTGGCGAGTCACGGTGGTTCACCGGCGGTTGAAATGAATCTGCTACAAGCAATGACCATCGTCAACTTCTGGCTCCTTTTGGCATCCATGGTGTGTGCGATGGGTTCTGGTCTCGCCACCATCAACAACGTAACTCAAATAGGTCAGTCTCTTAATTACTCAACAACCAAAATCATCAGAATTTTGTCTCTATGGAGTATCTGGAACTTTCTAGGAAGATTCAGTGGTGGATATCTGTCTGATTTCTCTTTACACGAGTGGGGCTGGGGAGACCGATGTTCATCGATCTCGATAACACTTTTGGCGATGGTCGTCGGCCATCTTTGGATCGCTTATGGTGGGAATTTGCTCTTTGGTACAGCGGTTATCGGCATATGTTATGGATCACAGTGGTTTTTTAATGCCTACGATTACTTCTGAAATTTTTGGGGTGAAGCATATGGGGACAATTTTCAATACGATAGCTGCAGCTAATCCTGTTGGATCGTATATATTGTCTGTGAGAGTGCTTGGAAGCATCTTAAATATTACTAAAAGAGAAACTTTATGACATCATCTTAAATAATCTGGACCATTGATTGTATTTCAATCTTATTTTTTCCACCCTTAGATCAAATTGCTGACATCATCTTCCCCATATGGAATGTATTTAATTCCAATAAATGCTTTCCAATCATCAATCAATAACTTACATTCGTTGAAATTGAATGTATTTAATTCCAATAAAAGCTTTCCATATTTTACATCTTGAATTTTCAGTTATGAAGATTTTAATATGATCAATTTTAAAAATATATTACTAACAAATCATTTCAATCAAGGTCTTAATATCAACCATTAATATAAATCCGTTTATATTAGTAAACCAGTAATATAAAATCTTTTTTTATTAGGAAATCATTAATACCGAAAAATCATATTCAAATTATCACATACATATACGATTCATCATTGAATCCGCGACTCACATTTTCAATCGTTTCTTTTCTTCAAACATTCTCCTACAACATCGTTAATATTGCTTATAGCTTCCATCATCATTCTCTGCTATCAACATTCACTGTTGTGCGCTAGAAGGTCAGTACCTTCTTTCGCTTTTTATATTTTTTTCGATCATTTTTTGTTCCTATATCAAATGTATGTATTCATATATTTGATTTTCTTTGTCACAAATTACATAAATCAGTTAACTACTTTTCTGAAACTTTTCAAATAAACATGAAAAGGTATTAGGTACCTTTAACAAAACAAAAATTAACTATCCTGGGAACTGACATTAATTACGAAAATGTTACTTTTATATATTAGAGATGATTATGATTTTTTTTTAATTTTTATATCATAAGAATCCGGTTAATTTTGGCATGATTTTAAAATATCATTGAAATTATTATGTTTTTATATATCATATCAACCTACTTTTTTTTTTTTTTTTTTTTTTTTTTTTTTTTTTTTTTTTTTATCATCTTCGTATAGTAACAATAAATTTATTAATTTACACAACAAATATAAATATTTCAAATTTTGTAATATTATTATATCTTACAAAATACAACTCCTTCCAAAATAAATTTTCGTCAGTAATTTCATCCATAATTTCAACAAATTTAAATTTGTATTTTCTTTATATATATATATATATATATATATATATATATATATATATATATATATATATATATATATTATATATATTTTTTTAATGATCCTGATTTTTTTTCTCCAAAAGTATATCAAACATTTACGTTTTAGATAATGCTGTCCTATTATAATTATTATTTTCCAAAAATATATCCATTTAATGAGGAATTTGATATAATAAAGGAAGTGAATGTTAATTAAAATGAGATATATATTCCATAATTATTACATGAATTTATTAAAAAAATTAATATCAATGTGTAAATATTAAACATTTTTAAAGTGAAATTTCAGAATACATACAAACGATAATGTTGTACAATGAAATATAAAATTGAATAGACTGAAAAAAAAACACTATTAAAGCAGTCAATCTTGAAAATAACATAGTTATGAAAAATTATAAAGTAGGATTGAAATTATAAGATATTAGGAGATTTGTAAAAAGTACATTTAGTAAAAGCGTTACGGTTATTAGAAAAAATAAGACTGTTAAGATTAGTGAAAATACAATATATAAACTAAATTATCATAATAGTAATGAAATGTCATTATTTGATATTTCATATAATTGACAGATATATCAAATTAAATTGATATACTAAAATTATTCAAAGTTGCACCAAAACTAATGCAAAATTTTTGCGAATACTAAATAAATAAGAACAAACATAAAAGCTAGCATTTATATTTATAATCAATTTAAAATAAACCAATCATGATTTAGAAAAGAATCTTCATTGATGATATACTAAAATTAAATCTATATAACATTTAACATTTTATAAATTATATTACATAACTTTATTTGAATAAATAAAATAGTTGTTAATATTTAATGCAATAGAAAAAACGGTATATTGATTGTCAATATATGTTTAAATTAGGTAACATTATTATGCAATGAACGTCTAATTATATTGATTGTCAATATATGTTTAAATTAGGTAACATTATTATGCAATGAACGTCTAATTAAAATGCTTATAAATATATAAATATCATAACTATATAAGACGAGGAAAATCGTTCAACTAATAAAACAAAAAATAATATCTACAAAGAGATCTTTCAATGATTATATATATTTATCGTTTTCAATGTATTTTCTACATATTTCAATAATACCAATAACCATATATATATTTTTTTATAATCATTATACAATATCTACAAACGATTATATGTTTTTTATGCGTTTCCCGCGTTTAACGCGGGCTATAATCTAGTTTATGATAAAGAAGCAAAAGGAGGGGGTTCCTGCAATGGGATTCATTGCTTTAGGGATTCGTTTTTTGTGTTTGCTGTGGTTTGTGTTTTCGGGATGTTTGTATCTTTGGTGTTGTTTATTAGGACGAAGGGGTTTTATGTGGTGGTTGTGGACAAACGGGCAGAGGCAGTTGAGGCTGATGTGGAGGTGGAGGGGTAGGAAGAAAGAGAGAGGAGGGTGGGTTTGTACTTTGTAGTTGTGGAGAGGAGAGAAGAAGTTGAGAGATTGATAGGAAATTAGAGAGAATTAATAAATGTTTTGTTTGATAATAATAAAGATACAAAGAAATAGAAAAGAAACTAGTAGAATTGTTGATTGATTTTGTTTATATGACAAGTTTTTCAAGCATGTTGTTTGGTTTTATAAGAAGATTTGTTTGGTTTTATGAGAAGATTTGAATTGAACTAATCGCAAAATCACCATCAAATCTTAAAATTCAAGTATAATAGAGAAAAAAAATACTTATTAATTTCTTATACATCAATTATTTTAATTAAAGTTATGAATTTTCTAGAATAATGGATTACTTTGAAAATTATATATTGGTTATTCTTTGATTTAATTGTTAAATTTTATGTTTAGAAGATAATTTAAAAATTAATTCGGATTGTCACTGTATTGTTTCATTTTTAGTTCTTTTTAATTTTTATATTTTTACTATTTTACTATTTGTTTTTTCAATTTCTTTGGTTGAGCGACATAAAATGAATATTTTATTTTTTCTAATTTCTTTTTATTTATTTTTCTAATTATTTATTTTTTTATTTATTAAACAAATAAATGAATGGTCTACCACCTATACCCCTCTCAATTGGAGGGGTTTTTTTTTTTTTTTTTTTTTTTTTTTTTTAAATAGGGTAGTTTGAGAGAACCTTTGTAAAAATAGGGTTGTTTTAAAATGTTTGGTAAAAATGGGGTCTTTTTTATTTTAATCCCTCCAAACATATATAACTGATTTAATAAGTTTCAAAACAGTCTTTTAACTTTCACTTTTTTAACATTTAATTTAGATTTTTTTTTTCTTTTAAAATTTATTTTGCATCTTAATAATAATAGAATATAGTATCATAATCTTTTTATAATGTTAAATACAATTAATTATTATTTATGTTTAAAGTTTAGTATTTGTAGTTTACTCAACTTACTTTTTACGCCAAATTTGATTTTAATTTAATTTCAAACTTTACACCAAATTTTATTTAATAAGATGTATGTGTTCTCAAAATAAACTATAAGATGCATTAATTTTTTTAATAAGTTATATTATTAAATAAAATGTTGAGATCATTATTTACATGTGTGCTATTAAGTAAAATTGTTTTAGTTATGATCAAATACCAAGACTTGTCATCTTAATTAACATTGGATATAAATGTTCATACATAATTTTTTGTATTTTACAAGTAATAAAACCTTCATGGATATTTTGCAACGAAAAATGACTAAAAAGGTGAGATGGTAAATGCATTATTCGCCAAAAATAAAATAGGCTTCATCGATGATACAATATCCACCCAATGTAACCAAAATTTATAATGGTATATAATAGAATGAAACATAGGAGCTGGTTCTTTCTAAGGATCTGTCATGACATCATTAAGTTCGTCATCAAGACTAATTGGGCATCATCTAGTTCACCTTCTCACTTTTCTAGTCGTCATAATTCCTTTCGTGTAGTAGGTTTTATCCAATAAAATTGTAGATAAGATCGACAGAAATAACAATGTACTTGTGAATATTTATATAAAAAAAAGATGACAATCTTTTATATCAGAGAGTTTAAGTCCCTTATATTAAAAGTAGTTTAGGTATAGTTATATCGAGAGTTTAAGTCCCTTATATTAAAAGTAGTTTAGGTATAGTATATCTATCATTAAAAAACAATCTACTTCACAATATATCTTATTGAAAATAATTAATGGATTTTATAATATATTTGAAACGATCCAAATTCAAGCACATTTATATGTTAGTAAACAAAAAAATGGTGGAAAATACAATATAAATTAAAATCAAATTTGGTGTAAAAACAATTTGTGTAAAATACAATACTAAACTTTAAACTAAAATAATATTTTCTGTTGTATTTAATTTGATATAAAATTTTATTTTTAAGATACTATATTTTATTCTTATTAAAGTGCTAAATTAAAATTAAAAGAAACAAATAAAAAACGATTAAAAAAAAAAACGATAACTGAAGGTCCTTTTTGAAATTAATGAAATCACTTATATATGTTTGGTGGGACCCAAATATTAAAAATAAAAAAAAAACCATTTTTACTAATATTTTAAAAGAACCCTATTTTTACAAAAGGTTTTGCAAACAGCCCTACTTTTACAAAAAAAAAAAAAAAAAAAAAAAAAAAAAAAAAAAAAAAAAAACTCGTCTCAATTGAGAGGATAGGATGACTCCTTACAGCTAAACCAAAATCTTAATTGGTTGTTTTGAGATATAATAGTTATTCTACCATAACAAGTGGTACCATATATTTTTGGATTTTAACAA